TGACACACAACTAAAGACTCATAACTCCAAAACTATAGCAAGAAGAGTCAAAATGTAGGTATCATTTAAAGGAACACCTTTCACATTTTTTGAAAATATAAATTACATTACATATGGACATTCTCATGCCATGAAACTGCTGATAAAAGACAAAAAATATATATAATTTCTATTATGATTTTGCATATCTATCTTGTTTGACATGCAATAACTCGGGAAGGAAATACGGTAGGGGGACAATCTTTGTGAAGTAGTGAAGTCCCTCTACATGAGCTGCATCTGGATCAAAAAACACTTCGGGTTGAAGGGGTTAACCTCTTAAGGTCTTTAACCTGGTACCGTGGTCTGCACTTTCAAAGACAAGATTCAAAAACACATTGTCCAGGGTTTTATAATATTTTGGACACTATTTTATTAAGGGTTTACTTTAAAATGACACTATTTATTTACTTAACTGTATGTGGGTAAGGGGAGGCTTCAATGTTTGTCAATATCAGACAGAAATCCAAAATAAGCTTAGGAGTTTAACCCTCTGTGGTCTGTGTTTTTTGGGTCCTTGATGTTTTGACATGCCCTGACATTTGTGCTTTTTTCAGTTGCTTGTAAACATATTAATGACAAAGGTGTCATTACACTCTATTCACCACAAACAGGGCTACCATAATATGTGAGCAACAAGTATGTACATTTTTGAGAGAATAATGTTTATGCATGGTTATTGAAAACAAAAAATTCAAGTTTCGGAAATAAGGCTACAAAACACACACTAAATATGTGTCCACAATACTGTTGACTAATGGATGTTGTTGCCTAGAGTTTTTGCTCCAAATTATCTGAAAATCATCCTGCCTAATCATTCACATAAAACAAAATTTTGTAAAACACTTGTTGTTTGGAAATGCAATATGCGTAGGGACTTGAAGGATCATAAATAATGCTCTGATTCACACCTGAGAAGACAATGACCTGCATAATGAGCCTTTCATTCAGGTGTGTCACACAAGAAAGAATGCGAGGACAAAAAAAAAAATATATATATATATATATATATATATATATATATATGCATTGAGACATAATATATTTCAGTAAGCTTATTGCGATTTATTGGATGGAATGCATGTTAAGTTTTGTTCACGCATCAACTTAAAACCGCATAGACTACTAGATCGATTCTTGGTATTTAAGAATCAATACAGGTTAATCAAAATGAGAATCAAATAAAATCAAGAAATCAATGCATTCATGTTTTATTTAATTCATGTAAAATTACGTCTTTATTGTGACACGACTTGATGGATTATGTGACTCTGTGAGATTCTCTATTTTTTAGCGCCACGTTTAAATGACATTTTAAGCATGTAACAGATCTCATTTGTGCATTAATGGCTGTTATGTTAAAGTTTACTAAGGGAGGTTAATTTATATTTATCGGTAAAACAAAACCGATACCCGATTATGAGAAAATGCTTAAAAATCAGGAAAAAACGATTATGGGTCGATCACTACATGTGGACATGCTTTAGAGCTTGTATGTGAGGGCACTTTCTATATTGCCTTTAAATGTTTCTCTTTCTTTCTTTTTCTCTCTCTCTTTCTATTTCTTTCTCTTTCTCTCGCTCTCTCTCTCTCAGGCTAAACAGAGAGCTGAGGTATTACAGTCTACCCACAAGTTCTTCTCTGAGCAGCAACAACTCAAGGCTCCAGTAAGCAAGCCCACCCGCATGGAAGGAGCAGGCAAACCCACCGACAGCATCACTTCAAATCACCAGGGGGCGCCACCCGACCGCGCAGAGTCTGACAAACCTGCTCTAGCAACAACCAAACCCATACGGACGGGTCCGATCAAACCGCAGGCCATTAAACCAGAGGAGAGCAAGTAGCCGTTATTGCTTCAGAAAGGGCACATGGATGGAAGGATGGACTGAGAGGCCAGAGGCTTGGGAGAGGGGAAGGGGGGTGACGTCTTATAGCACCTGAAAGCAGCAGGGAAGTAGAGTGATGGAGGTTAATTTTACGAGGTGATGTGCATTTCTCACACTTACTGTGCCCTTTTTCCTCATCCTTTTATCAGTCCATCCTTTCTCTCTGCTGTGGTTGGCATTACAGAGAAAGCGCCCCTGCATTGTCTGAACTGTACATCCCCAGTGAACAATGAAGGTAGACATCAACAAAAGTTACAGTGAGAATGCCATTTTTAATAGCAATATGATTTACTTTTCACTTTTACATTTCCGCATGTAAAGAAAACACGTTTTAGGAAGGCAAATATCTCCTTTTTTTATTGAAGATGTTTTCTCCAATTTTTGTTCTTGATGTTCTCGAGAAACAATGTTGAGGTTATGGCGATAAAGATACAATGAAATGTCTACACACACTTGCATATAATTATTGTGTTTGTGTGTACACCTCTCAACATTACCTGCTCTCTCATTCTCTTTCACTTCACTTCAACCATGTGTATTGGCCTTAACAATACATAGAACGTCATTTCAGCAGATTAGGAATTGATTACCGACATATCTGATTAGTTCATCGATTGCAGTCTCCACTGTGAGCCTTCCCTCTTGCCTTCTCAGTCAGTAGTCTACGCCTGCAAGAATTGAAGATTGTGCGTTTGCGTGTGTGCGCAAAATAACCTTGAATCTTTAGCCAAAGGTTAGGCGTCAAGAGACATGAATCCTTTTAGATGAATATATGATTTTGACAAAGATGGCTCAGCTTGGTCAACATATAGTAGAATTATGATGGAATATTTTTTTTTTTGTAAACGGTTCCTCCAGACCAGGCCTATGTTTGATATGTCCTAAGCTTAAGCCCCTCCCCTTTTCTGTGAACGATGACAGATGTAGACACGCCCACTTCTATAACTCCATTCTTTCACCTTCCAGCCTCTCCACACAGCTCCCAACCATGCTGCTGACCAACTCTGACTCTCCTGACCAATCACTGCAGAGGAGGGGTGGGGTTTGGGTTGGGGTGAGTGGTCAAGCATTTTAGGTTCAATGGTAACGAGCTGCAGGTTTAGAAAGAGGAATGTTGAGCATAAGGCAGCCAAACTCAATGGAGGGTTTGGGGCAGGAGTGATGCAAGTCTTGAACAGGTTCCCAGATGTTTTGGACTACTCTGTTATGGTGACCACAGGCCTGAGTATACATGGTCTTTCTCCAAACCACTCCTCTTGGGTTGCTATTGCAAAGGGGCATACAGTTGAACAAGGGTTTCAGTATGGCCCCCCATTTCTTGTTTTAGTAGATATGAGAAACTACAAACAGAAGGGGAGGAGAGGGAATTGATTTGTTTTTCTTTTCTTTTTTGATTTCTGTTTTGTTTTACTTGTACAGGGGTTAAATCGCTGTATTAAAATATGTAAGGTCTTATTTACATTCTCCTGGTTTGGTTACAGAAACTAATAAAATAATATGCTGTAAAAAATGAGCTGTGGTCATGTTTGTTTTGTGGTGCTGAATTCAGTAAAATACCATACAATAAATAGGTGACCTATAATTCAAAATTGAATTTACCTTGGTATAGTCAAATAACAAGAGTTCAGTGCATGGACATGACATAGAGTGAATCTCAAACTGGACTGTTTTCGCGTTCTCATTTAATTCACGTTTATGAAAAACACCCCTGAAAAACGGTCGGTTCTCCACACAATACCGACTGTGACGCAATAGTCGGGATCATTAATATGTACGCCTCCAAATATTTGCATAATGCCAGCCCTCAATGCCAGGCGGAACTGCGCAGCCGAAGCTGTTTCCTCAACTTGGGCCAATACAGAGCTGGCCTCGGATCGAGCTACCAAGCAACACTTTCTGATGTGTAATTGTTCAAGTTCAGACAGGTAATCTTTCTCTCAAAATCGTTCAATACTGTTTATGCATCAGTAAGTCAAGCCAGTGACTAAAATATCAGCTTCACATCGTTTCTTTTAGTAGGATGAAAATAATCGTATTTAAATTGTGAACAAATTATATACAGAAAGCGATCAAAGAACAATCTTTCCACACAGCGCGAGTTTATCTGGACACTTGCCAAACTCGTTATGAAATCAATGACGCACGTTACTGCACAACGAAGCTCTTACTGTATTTACATCATCGTGTTTGCATTGGGGAAAGCAGAGAGAGTGCAGAAACTGCTTTGCAATGATAAGATCTTCATTCTCGCGATCAACACACTCATCTGCTCAATGCTCATCACGGCAACATTTTATGTGATGGGAATAGATCTAAATACTTTAAAAACATCTCACGATTCGTTAATCTCGATAGCTGTTATAGTAAAAACGTATGATAGCAGTAGTAAAAGTATTCGAGAGAGAGTTTCACATGTAATGAGTTGCTTTTTCATATGCAAGCATGTCAGCCAATCACAGCAGTGGCCGCGGTTACACTGAATCCCACAGCAGACACGCCCCTTCAAACAGTGTTCAAATCAGAGGCTAAAAGCAGGCTAGGAAAAATGCCATTTATTTCTAAATTATGATTATTTTTTATCTAAAAAACATACTAACATTATAAGGGTAACCCAGGAAACATTATAAAATAATTAAAAAAAAACATTCTAGGGCACCTTTAATGCATGCAAAATAAGCAAACACCACTAAATTAAAAAGAGAGGCACACAGATTAACACTAAATCTTTATTCTCATAAGTTAATACACTTGTAGCCACAAGATCCCAATCTTAACATCTCAAGCAGCAGAGTCTATTTAAAAGAGAGTAGGGAAAATATTCATCATATACAGAAATAGGATAGTATGATTGCATGAGGATTAGAGCAAGTACACTAGCAAAGGTTTTGTTATGGTTTTTAAAGTTGCATACCTCTACAATCTGTTAGTCAAAAGGTAGGCTTACTGTAATTGTATGCCATTTACATTTTCCCCCTTGAATTTATTCAGTGCCTTAAACACAAAAGACAAGACATTACTTACAAAGGTAGAAAAATAATTTCTCTATTAACATAAGTGGACAAAATCACTGAGGAATTAAATGTGGCCTCAATTTATTAAACTGATATCATGATACATGATTAGAAACTTTATCCATTTGGTAACGTGTTGGTCAAAGGAACTTCTTTTTTTTTAACGTTTATCATGAACAAAGATAAGTCCACTTAATGTGAAGTTGTGCAATGTAGTCACTGGTACACTTAATTTCTTTTTATTATGGTCTTGAAAATAACAGCCTATATACAATTGTTGGTGCTTCAATATTATCAGGAAAATTTTTATATTTTCTGTGTTCATTAAATGTACGTACTCTTGGTGCTATTATTTATGTCCCCAGCATAATTATGGTTGAATTGCCCAGTTGCTTTTTTACGCTAGATTGTCTATAATTGTCATTGAATATCAGTAAATCCAACAATAGCTGTCCCACTTGATATTAAAATATTAAAACATTGCAAAATGCGTCTATAAGCTGGGTGAAATGGACATTTATGCCGATAGCTTCGCTTTACTGCTGCTTGCCTAGTCTCACTTTATAAGATACAATGTAATAGTTATCCCAAGCTTGTAGCTTTCTCTGCCCTGGGTTGTAGTCTACCATGCTGTTGTAGCGATAGCGGTTTTTGAACGGCACTGAGATTGTTTTACCCTGGCTGGTTGCGGTGTCATACATGTAATTTATGGTGGTGTTTGGCGAGGTGTAACTAGCAACCGTGTACAGCTTGCCACAGATCATAAAAGCATTAGCCACAGAAGTCTTGCGAATTTTAGTCTCCCAGGTGCCCTTCACCTCCAAGTTGTTAGGGTCCAGCTGGGAGAGCACAATAGCGCCCTTGGCTTTGTTGGTACTGTATATGGCCCATAGACCATTCTCATCTATTGCCAGGTCAATGTCTGTGTAACCACCCCAGGAGTAAGGGAATTGACCATGGAAGCCAGAATGGGGAAGATCACGGCGAGCAGCAATACTCTCGGAGAGTAGATCGTATCTTAGAAGGGTGCGACTGAGCCTCCGTTGGTAGTACAAGGAGCCTCTGTACATGGTAGCACCTGTGCTCTCCACAGATTCTGGCAAGAGTAGGACTTTGGTAGGAAACCCACGTGACAGCTGGTCCATGTTTTCATACCCAAAGAGTTGACGCACTTCAGACCCTACGGCATCGATGCGCCATACCATCTCTGGACCATAAGGTTCCTTAGCTTCTGGGTCTTGCATCCAGACACCGTATTTACCTGCAATACTGTCAGCCTTACGGTGCATCTCAGGCTGTTCTACCCACACCAGGTCACCACAGCCTGAAAAAAACCCCCAAGAGATTGGACACTTGTTGGAAACATTGGATTGCAAATGACAGGTTGAAAGATACCATTAAAACAAAATCTGCAAAAGGTGGAAGAGAGGACAGCTTGTCCTACCATTCTTGCTAGTGTAAAAGATTAGAAACATATTTAACCTTTCCTAAAATACCCTGTAAGAGAGAGGTACTGGGGGAAGGGATGCTTGGCAGAATTCAAAGGACTTCTTGGGAAAAACCCGAACCTTACTGTCTTTGTTTAGCAACATGATCGCGTCAAGTGATTCACATTACCATTTTGGCGCCTTACTAAACATACACACTACTTTTATAAGCTAGATTATTTTAGGGTTAAATGAATTGGTAAAAATAGCAGAATTTGTGTAAGTGCTGTCAGCAGGAATGAAAGCTATGTGCACAGTATCAATTTTTCAGGCACCTGAGATGAACATATGTAGGGGCATGGGGCATATATATATATATATATATATATATATATATATCAGCATGACTTGACAGTCAAGCTAATGTCAGAGGACATCTACTAGGCCCTGTTTACACCTTGTATTAAGATGCATTTCGGTTGATCGGATCACAAGTGGACGACTCTAAATACAGGTGTAAACGGGGTCTAAAATGTTTTGAGCTTGACCACTTTCAACCACTTCCAGAGGTAGTCGAAAACACATTTGGCCAGATTGCTTTCATAGTGTAGATGCTCATGTGTTCGAACAGCCACAAAAGACCGCCTACCGACTAAATGCGTAAACATTATGGGAAGCGTGCTAGCAAGATGGGATATAAACTTGGTTGGCTCAAGACTCAAGCTGATGCTCTGCATATGTTTTTTTGCGTCGTCTCCAGTCGCGTTCATATGTAAATTGCGTGAGCTTATTTCATCCATTATATTGAAAGATCTGAAAAAGGCCATACATTTACCTGCCCATAAACACTCCCCTTAAAGAAATCAGGACAGAAGTGGTTGAAAGTGGACAAAAGAGACGGATTTAAACACCAAGTGTAAACGGAAATGTGTCTCCCTTGTCTATTAGTGATGTGATCGACCAAAACACATCTTAATACCAGGTGTAAACAGGGCCCTAGATTGTGGCTTAGATAGGTGATAGACACCCTAGGGTTACCCCGGATTTCCACCAACTGCGGATCGGCTCCACTGCGTGTCGGCTCCGTGCTCCGCCGTCCTTCAATACCTATCAGGTCCGGATTTGTTGCGGAATGGCTGTGGCCATGACTGACAGCTGAAGTCACGAGGACCCATGAGATCTTGCGAATTCACGCATGATCACGTGATATAACAATTTGCCCTGTGCTGAATTGCTGCGGAGCTCTCCGGCATCCGGCAAAAATAGAAGCTCTGCGTATCTGCTCAGGAGGGCTGCGAATCGCCGGAGCTGGGACGGAGTCGGAACGCAGCAGTTCCGCTGTCAGCGAAAATACACACATTGATTTTAATGGAAACCTATTGACTCCGCCGCCGTTCCGGATAGGATCCGCAGCTGTTCCGCTGTTGGTGGAAATGGCCAGTTAGGGTGTGAGACTCACCTGAGATGTCCGCTGGACCTTCCAGATTTGGGGCAGACACCTCAGTAACCACAGCTGTCAGCTCTTGATATCCTGAACTCGAGTGCCATGCTGGATCTAGGAGATCAGAAAGATAGAAATTCACATACTCAAATTGAGACATGCATGTGAAGGTGTTGAGGTCTACATTTTTCAAGCCTTCACAATCAGAATGGCAACTAGTGACCATGACATGCAGTCAGTAACAAGAATATTAAGTAATTTGTCTTATTTGCAGTATGGAGTTGGATTAATAATTTATGATAGTGCAGTTTGTTCTCTGCCTAAGTAACTATACCCTTGTTACACCCCCTACTCTACCTCTTAAACTGCTGGTGTCTCCTTGTGTATTCCCAGGCCTGGATACCAGTTGGGAAAGTGCAGGACCTAAAAGGCAAACCAAATTATCAATTTGCTGTTATTGTCTAGGCAATGTTTACTGCCCCTTATTATCAGGTAGATCACATGTTTAGCTAGTCCAATAAAATGGTTAAAATCAGCTCTCAAGTGAGATTCACTATGTCCCAGAGTACCATGATGGAAGTCTAAACTAGTAAAGTTGGACAGACTTATAGACTTGGCATTGATCCTGAGTTGCCTGAGAGAGGTATGTTTGTTGGGATGCATGGTTTTGGGGGACTGGCAGCTCTACTGACAGTCAGGAATCTAACAGAAGGAAATAAACAGCCCTGAGTAGATTCCCAGCTGTCCCGGTGCCTGCCAGACTCCAGACCTCCCATTACACATCCGAAATTCAGACATGCACTCCAGCAGAGAGCACATACACTCTTCCTGGTTAACAAGCAAAGTTAAAAGCCATTGTGTCATTTTTTCATTGTAAAAATAACTTTTCTTATCCCAACTTGTGCAACATTTTCAACATTGCTCAGTTTGTTTGAGTGATCTGACTTGTCAACTTTTGGTTCAACCAGTACCTGTTTGTCCAAAGTCCAAAAAAATGGAAGATGGTTGAGAAGGGGTGATTTGGAAACCTTGTTGGAAATTTTTAGTTAGTTAGTTTTGTTTGGTCCTACTAATGATACAGAAAGGACCTGAACAACTTACACTCACATTATCCTCTCTCCTTCAATGTTATGCCATTTTATTGCCCAAGGGCTAAATTAACTCTGTTATTGTCTGATCATGTGCTTATATGTTTACAGTCTCTTATAATGGTCGTGAACATCTGAAATCTGACTTTGATTGATTGCTGTGACGAGGGTTAAAAAGGGCTGCTGATGATGATAGCTTGCTCAGACCTGCAGTGGGAAGGTCTGTAGTTACTGTCCTTTATCCCTATAATCAACACTTGCTCATGGACACAGGTCTATGCATCACCACAAGGCAACAAAAGCATGTAATTCCCAAGGTTTGTTTGCAGGTGTTTATGCTTATCTGTATATCGTGCCTAATGGTTCCCTGAGAGATCAAGCAGAACTTCAAGAACCTTCTGGACCATCTGGTAGCGTGTTGCAGACTAATTTATTTGCAGGAGCCTTCACATCTTAACATCTTTCAGACTTTGGAGGGGGTTTTTGTTCTGTTTGAATGCTTTTGGGTTTTGCAACTGTAGGCCGTGAAGCAGATGCCAACTCTTAGTATAATTCTAAATGAGAATTCCTTTTGTTTAAAGTTTCCAAAACATTTCAAAACGATCTCCAGAGGCACGCATTCATATGTTCGTACTTAATGAGGTGACACTGACAACATTCATATGGCTGAATGGAATCCTGATCTTTTTTTTTTGCATGGACTGTTTGCATGTTCAGTTAGGCGTCTTCACTGCTCAGTATTTTTTTCTCATCAAAATGTTTTACACAATTAGTGGTACTTATAAAAAAGTATAAAAATGACCCCCTTTATTTAACATTTGTTGTCATTAATCACAAATGACTGAAAAAAAGAGCATTTCTGCTATTACATTGGTACCAGAAAACCTTTGCTTTTGCTGCTAAGTGTTAGTCCAAAATGACTGCCAAATCAGCCAGAGGAATATAAACAAGTAATGCACCTTTGAACCTTGCATTAATCAATGTAATTAAAATTTTGTATCCACTGGTTAATTACTATTTATTCAGCCCCTCTATGCTTGTGTACGTTTGCACAGTATGATGTTTGGGGTGCAAAGGGACTGTGAACCTGAAAGCAAAACTGAATCCAAGAGGGTGAGGACGTGCAAGACGGACGGCCTGTTTTCTTTTCAACCTCAAAGAGCTGGAATTTGTGGCCTTTTTTGCAAAGAGGGTCTCCAAGGTGCTTCTCTCCTGTCTTGTTAAACTCCGTTTTTATTTTTCATGCGTTTTTTACATGACGTAAAGGTACCAACAGTATATTTAATCCAGCACTAACAACCCCAGCAGGGATCAGTTACCCCCGACCTCCACCCCTCCTCATGCAGCATCAGTCAGTGGTCTGCTGGGAGCTGTCAGTAAGACTTTACTGCCGAGCATTAGCACAGTACTGTTTTACTGCTTCAGCGGCTTTCCCCCAACACCCTCATTCACTCGCATGTTGACCTACTCTTATAATATATGACAGGGGGATGTCACCTAGTTCAGCTCTGATCTATCTATACTGTTCGCTGCTGCTTTAAAATGAACACAATGACCTGCTCACCAATCCCCCCCGAAATATGACTCACACTTCCAGGCAGGTATAACTGTGGAAATACACACATAAACCGTAAGAGTCTGTTGCAAGGTGCCAGTAACTCTAGCATGTCATATTATGCTCACACTCTCTGCTTTCCCAGACACCACACCTGTTTACAAGTCATGGCTCAATTGCATTTTAAACATTTTGGTAGCCACAAAAGTAAGATTATAAGTTGGTGTATATTTTGCTTGAGCATTTTCCATCATTATACTGACAAAACAAAATAGGTATTATTGGCGATCTTTCACACTTTATGATAAATTTATAGTTTGCAACAATTGCACCTTTAGGGTTACAAAAGGTTGTCACTGGGACAGTACCCTTAAAGGGACACTTTTGTACTTTATTTATCCCTAATGATGCGTTTTAGTACCTTAGAGTAATAATATGCATTGTATGATACTGTGAACCCTATAGGAGTACGTATATATAGTACAAAGGTTTCCTTTCGAGGGCAAAAGCTGTTGTACACACAATTTTTGCACATCACAAATGTATCCCAAGCAGATAAAATGTTTTAAGTCAAGTCATCTTCATTTATATAGCGCTTTTAACAATGTAGATTGTTCCAAAGCGGCTTTACAGTGATAATAGGAAATTAAAGTAACAGAGATTGTTTTGGCTTTATGGCAGCTCTAGAATTAAGTTATTTTCCATCTAAAGTTAGTTTTGATTGATTCACTTCCGTTGCAACGATCATTAGTTAATAACTTAAGGTAGTGAACACTTGGCCAAAAGATCATTTTGATTGCGCAAGATGAACCTCAACAAAATATCCCCTGACAATTTTTTTCTTTAAATTTTTTGGTTGTCACTAACCTGATCCTGGTTTGAAGCTGCTGTCGATTTCCGGCACTCTAGGAGGAGGTTTTTGCGTGCAGGGTCTGCTCCTCAACCTCTCAGCCTCCTGGCGGAGCTCTTCCATCCTCTGCTGCAGGTCCTGAACCTGTCTTTCCAGTCTTTGCTTCTCTCTCTGGATCTGAGCCTTCTCCCCCATCACCTGGTTGTAAGCGTCCTGGAGGCCTGACTGAGATCCAGAACCCGCCGATGACTCTGACACGGCTTCACCTCCTACGAGACGGGCGACCAGCGCCTCTAGCAGCCCCAGGCGGGACTTCAGGGCCTCCATCTCAGGACTTGAACCTGGTGATGGACAACTGGCCTCTGTAGGGCTGTCCACTGTGAAGCTGTACTGACAACGGCCGTTGCCAGCATTCGCCCGACGAAAACTAGCACTGCTCTGAGCCTGGGTGCCCATGAGAAGGCAGGAAACACACAACACAGCCAAAAACCTCATGTTGAGGTGGACCTCAGATACCCGGAATATTTTTTATCCGATGCTCTTCTTCCAGGAAGGTTTACACAGAGGTCTTTCTGCCCTGTCCTCTTTAACTCCGGCACTAACCTATCCCTTCCCTTTCGCCTCACAAGCGTAACTGGAGCCGCTCACTTCTCTGGCGTTCCACTAATGACCTCTCACCTGAGTCTTCTCAATCTTTCGCTACCACTGACTTCCTCTCGCTTGTGCAAAAGATTGCCTTTGAGGGGCTGGTCAGAGTGTCTCGTTTGGATTGGTGGTCGATGTCTGTGATCCCTCAGTTTGTCTCTTCAGGTTTGGAGGCAGTTTGTCTGAGGCACATTACGCTGGGACTTATTTATACAGTCAGGGAGGAAAGGGAGGGAGGGACGGAAGAACGGAGAGACTCAAAGAGGGACGGAAGAAAAGGAGGGATGCTGTGTGCTTGAGTGATTGCCACAACAAAAAGATCCTTCCAGAGTTCTTTCTTTGCAACCTCCTCTTGGAGGGCATATCGGAGCATGTGTGGGATGGTTTGTGTGCTGTTTGTTTAGCTTTGTGCTCAGGAATGCAGGGGCAACCACAGGTGAACACAGTGTTTGTTCACAGTATGTCCAAGTGTCATTTAATGGTTTGTATGCTCAGGCATTTTCCCTCTAGGTATTGTAGTAATTACCTATGTAATGTGCCTAACAAACTAGCTAGGTGTGTGTGAGAGAGTTTCAAGAGTACCTAATGGGGAGAATATACCTTTCTGCTGCTTTCTAATTCGGGTGTTGTGGTGTATGTGGTCCCTATTGGTTTGCTGCTGGTGATTCACAGCCAGGGGATCTCACTGTGGGGAACCCAAGACAGGCTGTTAAGAGGGGGTAGATTTGGATAGAGTTACCCCAACCGGGACAGTCCATGGGAGAGGTCCACAGTGTTGGTTTACACGTTGAGCTTAGCTAAAGGGGTCAGAATGTGATGCAAACAGTAGCAGAGGTCAATGCATGTTTGAGGTGTTAGTGATCTTGTTGATGGCATTTGTAACGGTTTAACATAACACTAATAACAGCTTCAATCCTCAGAATCATGCTCCCTTGCCCATTTCTCGTTCTGTCACCAACCTTCACAATCCCTCGCTATTTAGTTTCCTTCTTTCTCATTTACTTATGACATCCCACTGTCATTTCCACCACTCTCCCCTCCACAGTTCATCACCTCACTCTTTCAATAAGTCTGTTTTTGTTAGTTTACTTACTAAACATTGGCTCAAAACACTTTCACACTCTTTTATCTATAATGTGGCCCAGATGGTTCAGGACTGGAATCTCTCTTCATGGTGGCCATTCGTTTTGTTTTGTTTGAATGTGCGTGAGATGTCTGAATTTCTTGCCCAGCTAAGTCTTCGGAGAAATTTAGTAATACAAATACCTAGTACACACTATTCCTTGCTTCTGACAGTGCTTATAAAGATTTTTACCTTTACTTGTTTTCTTTTTAGTGTGCAGGTGAAATGTTAAACGGTGGATATGTTTTGTCACACATTCTATCCCACTGTACAAAAAAAGGGTAAGATGGCCTTCTGAACAATCTGCATTTACATACGATGCATTTCTAGTTTAGCAAGTATATGACGAATAAATTATTAGTGGAAATAAATAAATATATTGGCTAAAATATTGTACAACAATTAATTTTCAAAACAGGGATGTCATAACAAAATGGCTATAAATTCAGATTTAATTATTCTACTCAATTAAGAAAAAATAGTTATAAACAGGATTACCAATTAATAATTCCATTAATTATTTGCATAATAACAACTACAACTTTTCCTGGAGGCTTTAAAGTTACTGACATGCAACTAAGGACACACCTTGACAGGCAATTTCTTCCTAAAACTACATGTTGATGTGATATTGTTATCTAATGGTCCCAAAAAGTATTTAAACACATCACATTTAAAAAGAAATGAATTTCACTCTATGGATGACAAAATATGAAACCACGTCACATCTGCAAACAAATTATGCCAGATCATTTCTTTCTAACTTTTCTGAGCAATTTTGCAATGACTTTTAACCAAGAGGTGCTAAAGTGATTTTTAGCAGATGTCAGTTCTCCTCAAGTTCGCACAGCTGTCCTAACAGAATAACCACAGAAATAGTTCATCACATATATTTATGTATAAGTGCCCAAATATATATATATTTTTTATTTAAATATCTATTGTTTTATAATCGATCAAACTTGTTTTTTTTAATGTTTTGCTTGGAAAAAAATGTGCTTGAGGTCTTAAGAATAAATCTCACTTAGTTTAATATTTTGTTATATAATGAATACAGTAACGACATCGGTACATCTTAAATGTGGCCAAATACATTTTGGGGCTGGAAGTTGTTACATCTTACTTTTGTTTTCAACACCTCTGCTCGCACCTTCTGGCCGTTCTTCAGGACCACCATCAGAGCTCTCAAATTTCACCTTGCAGGCTTCATTTCATCTATTACCACATCAGATTTATGGGAGATTGAAGAGACATTTACCAGAAACATTGTGTATTTACAAGACCATGCCTGCAAATTATATCCAACTAAATCCATTATGTCAAACACTCATTCTATAATACTCATTCTATAACTTGAGACGCTGACAATGAAGGATGTTGTAGAATCAAGGCTTACATTCCTTCAGTCAATGCAATTCTTAAACATTCCCTCAGTCTATCAGTTAATATCTGCAATCCTATTCATGTCATTTACAAAGTTCCATACAAACATCGGATTCTGATATATGATATCTGTCACTCATATATGTGACCTTTTGTTTTCAGTATTGAACAGATTCCAGCAAGTTCAGAACTGCAAATCTGCAACAAACCTTCAATAGCATTTATTAACTGACAAACTTTACATTATGTATATGTATATAAACATGCAAACATTACTTTTTTAAATGTCTTATTTTTGTGAAAGATCTAAGACTATTGTGAATGGCATACACAAACACACACAATTAAGACGTGTTTGCCTGGGGAGAGAGCGGAAGAACCTTAGTTATGTAACTAATGAGAGACATTCTTCATGGCAGAGATTAAATACTGATTGGAGATTTTGCTAACGCAAAACAGAACAGCATGACACTCTAACAAGTTAAATAGTTCAATCCACACATGTACAAAGCCACCTCAAGTCATTTGCTTGGATCAGATTTATAAACGTCTTACCATGAAGGAGGGACCTAGCTAGAGATCAGAATATCATATAGACTTTGGCAAGACCTGGACACTCATTGATGTACCAGTCAGACTGATTTTTGCCTGTCTCTGAACTCTCTTTGTCCAAAATTGGTAACTACAGATGGAGTGAAGCCGTCTGCCATTAACACATGGGAACCAGAGTGCATGACTGAGATGAGAAGAACAGACAAATATATAAAAATGCAGGAAAAGAAGGATAAATGGATGAAAGTAAAGTCATTCAGTGTGAGGAACGTAATGATACTTAAAGGTCTGATTCAAACACCAGCTCCTGAGTTTTACTCCTTTAGATCTGTTTTCATTCCACTATAGGGAGTTGACCAGGGAGTTGAATTTCAGCGGTAAAGAAGGAAATAGTACTTAGTTCTATAAAAAGACTTAAACCATACATGCGAAACAAAAACTATTACTGAAGACGAGACCTTTACTAAGTATAGTTGGGTGAGTTACACTATACGCCATTTATGAAGTTATATACATCCATTGAACTGACGTACTGCTTCTTATGTTTATTAATTGCCAAACATGAGTCAGGAGAAATTACTGTGGCTGTTGAGAAACATTATATATTATTAGAAGAAAAAAAACCTCAAGTTTCTCAAATAAAACCAGAAAATCCACTGCGTCTTTTGAAGCATCACACAAGTCTTGAAAGTTACGGGCCATTCTACGGAGCCCCTAAAGAGACAATGGGAGGAAACATTTTATTTCACTGCTTTTGCGTTCTCACGTAAACATATTGTGTTCTCTTGAAAATGTATTTTGTTCTCTTGCAAAAGTATTGCATTCGGTTTCAAAACTTTTGCCCCCGAGAAACTTAACGTAAACCAACGAGGGAGACATTCCCGTTTACACCTGGTGTTTTAATCATAGACAGTATAAGAAATGGACAGAGCCATCTCATTGGAACTCAGTTGAGACAGTTGAAGCCCATTTTTAGCGATTTCTGAGCACTTCCGTTCCTGACGCGCAGACTCAAACCGACTCAAACTAAGCTTGATGACGTGAGCAACCTGTCTGACAGACGTTACTCTTCTAGTAGCTGTGCGTGAAAATTGCCAACGTTAATCTTGCAGAGACGGGGAACTTGAGCAAAGAGTTCTTTGGCGTGAGTGAGCAGGAGTAAGTATTCCGTTGCTTTTATGGACTCATTATCTATGGGCTTCTCCCTTGACGGGACGTCCCCCCGATTGCCTGCGAGCTTCTCCTCCTGTCTGTACGGTAATTTCTGTACAGCGCGACAGAGAGTCGAGTGGTTATGACGCAATCGTTAGCCTATTTTTACTAAAACTGCTTCTACGGGGCCATAATGTAACATAGAAGGTAATGGAGCCCTTTATACATTGTCGTGTTTCTTTAGAAATAAATAATGGACAAATGGAGTCTTTAAACGCCTCAGATGTAAAGTTATTCGCTGTCAAAGTGACGCCAAAATGAATGGGAGTCAATGGAAATGCTAACGCAAGTGAAGTTCTGCTACAAGATGGCGGCACCCGGCCGGCTTCAACTTCCGGTCGATGGATTACCCCCTTGGTTTTAATCCACTTCTGTCTTCTGTCCATTTCTTTGAGGGGAGGGTCTATGGATAGGTAAAAGTATGGGGGGAGGGTTTTTCCAGAAATTTAAATGTAATGGACAAAATAAGCTTACGCAATTTACATATGAATGCGACCGGAGACGACGCAAAAAGCATAAAGAGAGCATCGGCTTTCGTTTCTGCTCTGACAGCCACAAGGCAACTGAACCGCGTTGGTGAGTGCGCTAGAAATCAGGAATATCGTCCGACAAAGTTTAAATCCCTTCTGGCTAGCGTGCTTCCCATGTTTACGCTTGAAGTAGCTGGAAAGTAGGCGGTCTTTTGTGCCTCTTCGAACATATTTGACCACATGAGCGTCTACACTTTGAAAGCAATCTGGCCAAATGTGTTTGACTGCTCTGGAAGTGGTCAAAAGTCATTCAAAAGTGGACAAGACAAGCTCAAAACGTTTTAGACCCGTTTACATTAGCGCCGTCTACTCGTGATCAATTGACCAAAACGCATCTTAATTAGGGATACAGATAACCGATAAATCTTTATATTTTAAATCCGATAAATCTAAATCCAGATTTGTATATAATTTGAGAGCCTTACAAAAACAAAAGTCTCACAATTAAAAGCCATGTCCCAAGCACACAATTATAATGTTCTCATTATAATTTGATGTAGCCTATATGACAGATTTGTGCTGCAAATGTTGCACTTAGCTATATTTTTTTTCACATTTTGAAGTGATTCCAATCATTTTTCAAGCAATTCAAAACCATCATGGCGAACAGTGCGCATCTGAAGCGTCTCAGCTGAAGGAAATAATCCATTATTTATCGGCTTTAATATATTGGACAAATTTTCTTATTAGGCCAAGAACAGTTACATTAAAAATGAACATACACTACCGGTGAAAAGTTTTAGATCGATAAGATTTTTAATGTTTTTAAAATAAGTCTCTTCTGCTCACCAATGCTGCATTTATTTGATAAAAAAAAATAAAAAAAATAATATTGGGAAATATTATGACAATTTAAAATGACTGTTTTCTATTTTAATATATTTTCAAATGTAATTTATTCCTCTGATGAAATCTGAATTTTCAGCATCATTACTCCAGTCTTTATTGTCACGTGATCCTTCAGAAATCATTCTTATATGATTTTATGCTAAAAAGAACTGAAAATAGTTGTGTAAATTTCTTTTTCAGAATTCTTTGATGAATAGAAAGTTCAAAAGAACAGTATTTATTTAAAATAGAATATTTTCTAACATTATATATGTCTTTAATGTAACTTTTGATCAATTTTAACTCATCCTTGATGAATAAAAGTATTGATTTTTTAAAATTTATTTCCCCAAAAATAAAAATAAAATTCGTACTGACTCCAAATTTCTGAAGGGTAGTGTTTAATGTTACACAAGCTTTCCATTTCAGATAAATGCTGTATATATCGTCCGATACCAATATGGTGGCCAATATATTGTGCATCCCTAATCTTAATACCAAGCGTAAACAGGCCCTCAGGGGAACGCAACGCAATAGTTTTGCGAGAGAACAAAAATGCAATGAATCAGATTAAATGCCCTTTAAAATCACTTTATTTCAAATGCAAGATTATTTCACAGTCTCCCAATGGGAAGTCAATGCTGACTTACATTGGTCATAGATATTTACAAATAAATATAACAAAGAAAAAAAAAACAAGTCAGTAAAATGATATGGATTAAAGTTTACAGTTGAGTTCAGGGTAACCTTCAGCAAGTCAACCAAGTCATTATCACACACAACTATTACATTACCGACCATTAACAAGCTGTTCAAATTACACCAGTGAAGATAACTAAGCTTAAAATAAAATAATACCAACTCAATACAATTAACCACGATAAATTAAAACATTGTTGCCAAATGTAAAAAAAAAAAAAAAAAAACAGCAGGTAATAGCAGCAAATATTAAGTAACATTACTTGTTGCTTTTCAGACTAACTTGAATTATACCCAATGTTTTGTCCATGTTAAAACTTCCAGAATGGTGCAGCGTGACATCATCAGGTTTCCTATTTGGCCCCGCCCACATGAGAAGTCAGTATTTCATAGACCTACATATGTGGGAAATGGACCCTGTAATTGTTAAATGTACGTGCGCATCATGGTGTAAACAGAACGGCTCTAGCGTAAAACTAACTATAAAGAGGACATCGAAATACCACCAGAATGCAGGGCTAAAAAGTTTCTCTGTGTATAGTACATTTTTAATTTGTCTGAAGTCTTACTGAATGCATATACAACAAAATAACCATTGTGTTTGTGCGCATACAAGAGATTGGTCTGCACCGGTGTTGTGCCTTCGTTGTGAGAGCTTGATATGTTGTGTTGACGTACACGCACAAAATAAACTCTGCCCCTGTTTGTTTTGTTTCCAGACCCTGCCAAAATAGGCAAATACAGTGGGCAGCCCAAACCTGTGCAGCGCCCCCTCTGGTACGGAGGAATGACAGCAGAAAGATGAGGGAGAGGAAGGAGGAAGAGTACATTATGCCTCTAACCTCCCTGCCAGACACTAGCGATACTGCAAGATCACAGGAACTGCAAAAAAACAAAAAAGAGGGATGTAAATTCAAGAAAAAGAAAGAAGTCAGATAGTCCCTAGCCTCAGTATAAAAGCAAATGGATTGTACTGACAGTTTACATGGGGAAAAAGTGTGTGTGTGTGTGTGTGTGTGTGTACTTACTGATTATGATAAGGAGAAGGATGACCACTACCAACGCTACAATCATTTTCATCTGGGGACAAAAAATATATATTACAAGGTATATAGGATAAACAGGGCTAAAAGACCCCATAGTGCAGAGTGTCATTTAAATGGCAGACCGCTGGACATGATTGCGCCATTTTACGGTTTCTACAGATTAAAGTGAACAGCGCGTCAAAACAATGGAGCGGTTTCTCACCACAAGCACTCAGGGTTGTTTATGGTAATGATCTTTCGGAGCTTCAGTATATCTATAATATTTTTATCTACAGCCAAAAATCTACAGCCTTCATTCAAGCCCTTTCCGCTCCGTGCGCGTTGCGTTGCTTCTCTCTCTCGCTCGCTAAAAACGTAAAGCGGTTGATTTAATTACCTTGAACAAAACTTTATCAAGGCTTCAAAATATCTATAAAAATCCTAATATATATACTATGTTCCAAAGTGAATGTTATAGAGGAAAATCAAATCAAATTGATAGTTTCAGATGTGGAAGATCATCCAGGATGGAGGCTCACCTTCATGTCTCTCCACCACATCCTTCTGTGGAGATGCTTGGCTCTACTGCTGAACGCTGACGCATTGTCCGATAGGCTTTCTGAAAGTCATGTGACATAAGAGGATCAGGAGTACTAAGGTATACTTCCATGCATGCTTGTTATTATATAATGACATACACTCATAAACAACAGACTGTTTTATATGGATTATCTTTGTCTGCTAGAGATGCTTGTTGATTTCATGATGCCGTTTTGGGATGTTACAACTCTGCAACACGTGTGACCAAATTAAACATGTTCAGCCTTATTAGCATGCAAGAACAAGAATCAATAAAGCTGAGCTTAAACCAGCTGCCATTCAACAATCCCACAGAGGATGACTGTGTTTACAGCCAGAAAGATACAAAGAACACAGGGGTCCTACTAATACAGACACATCAGTTTACATTTAGCCTTAAAAATTCATGAAATCATTAAGTAACAGTCTATGGATTCACCGTTAGGACTAAGCAATCTAAACGTGGCAACAGTATTGTTTACTTAATCATTTGTCCATCCTTACGCATGAGGCACAAAGGCAGCATTGCAGACAGCATATGGAAACATTCTCCTTTGTGAGTGACAATGTCTTCCAGATGCTGCACTATGAAGCTACTTGTTCTCTATTAGCAAACAAAGAGGAGGTGTTGTTTTTGAAATGGAAACAATGGATACATAGCCTGGTTAAAACCAGACCATTCTCAGCTGTAACTGAGTTATGGTCTGGCAAAGGGTCATAGACAAATCATTTCCAGAGGGGCGTCACCAACGGACGTCGCGGATAGACCTAAACCCAATCAGAGCGATGAAGAAGATGACGTATGCAGAGCGGCGGAGAAACATCTCCGAGTGTTGTTCTTTGCTCGGTTTTTAACAAAAAGGAAACGTTCAAATCTCTTAAAACAGACGCGATAGCTGATTCGAACAAGTGATGTTCGACGGCGGCATCCATCTTTGTAATGTAGGCTACAAAATCTGCTTCAAAATCCCAGCGCTGTCGTCATCGTGTAAAGCCCGCCCCAACGTTTCTGATTGGTGCCTCGATTTCGACGGATTGGAAATGAGCTTGAATGAGCTCTTTGCCAGACTAACTTGCAGAGCAAATCTAAATTTGCCGGAAGTTGTCTGGGTTTTCCCAGGGTAATGGATACAGACACTCAAGTCCCTTTCACATGAACCGGTCCAGAGCTTCAATGCACCTGTCAACATAAGCGCCATGCTTCACTTGGACCTCCACATAAAAAGCATTGCAATTTCAGCAAGATAGTAAACAGAAAAAGAAAACGTACTTGAGCTCAGAACAGACCCGTTTTGATTTTCGTACTTACGTGTAATGATATATGTACATTTTCCGTAATAATTGACTGCATTTTGTAAGTTCAGCAGCCCAGAGGGTAAAAGCTTTTTTCAGCTTGATGCCATCCAGTGTTTTAGTATTAATTATGTACTATTGTAGTATTTATTAGTATTTTGAATTAGCGTTTATTTTTATATTTAATTCATATTATTTCTAATTTTTTTCTTTTCTTTTTTTCAATTTAGCTTTAATTTAGTCTTATTTTCAGTTTACGTTTTAGTAATTTTACACTTCCACTTGTTTGTTTATATAATTTATAATATTTCAGTTAGTTAGGCAACATTTCTAATTTCTTGGTAGCAGAGCAAATCATTAACATTAACTAACAATGAACAATACATTTACAGCATTTATTCATCTTAGTTAGTTAATTAATTTCAACATTTACCAAGTCATTATTCAAATTAAAAGTTGTATTTGTTAACATTGTTAATGTTAGTAGAAATTAATTGTTCGTTGTTTGTCCAGAGTGCATTAACTAAAGACTAATAAATAAAAAAAATTGCTAATTGTTAGTTCACGTTAGCTAATGCATTAACCAATGACCTAATTGTAAAGTTTTACCCATCTCAAGTTTTGTAAGCTTTCATCTAATATTTATATTATATTTTTTTATAATTTAGTTAACATTAACACTTATTGAAACTTTGTTCCACTGAATTCAATCCACCGAGTAACGTGGCATTATCATTATCATAAAATTATTTCATATTACGCAATATTATGTGCGTAGTAAGGTATCTGAGCATCCACAGCAGCAAAAACAACCACACTGGCTCAACCAATGGAAACCATCATAACTCTGAGGTGTGGGAATACACACTTCATCTTTTTTTCTCTTTAAAATCAAATAAATGCAACACTACAACATCTGCTCATACTTTTAAACTCTGAACACAGTGGCTCCTTTTACCGCAAAGGTTAATCAACATGCACATCTCATAAAGTCCTTTCGTATAACATACAAAAACAGGACCAAGCACGTGCCTTTGTTATGGGGCAAGCTTTATTTATTTTATATTGGCCTGAAATAAGAAAAATACCACATCACTCTGTGGGACTGGGGATATTTTAACTACTCTCCTGCACATTTGTCCCAGGCAGCTCCCAAACCAAATAACAGAAATGGGACATGACTCACTAGGATCAGGTATGATGAAATCTGAAACTAACAAAGGGGTTTATTCATGTGACATTGGGATTCAATAAACTTTCCCACAGTTAGTGTAGTGAGCTGTTGAATATGTTTTTGATCTGAAATAATAATTTGTTTACATACAGCTTCCCAAACTATGCATGTGCTGATATAAGCCTTGCCCTGAAATGATTCACATATGCTTTGCGAATCTTGAATTAAATTGAACTTAAATATTTTGGCATGGGAGCTAACGTTCCAAATATTGCATATTTCCACCCACACATCAAAAAGAAAAATTAACATGAGCAGGTTTTTTGAGCAACAGAAGATCTGAGAGTAATTTTTAATCATGTTAATCTCTTGAATCCAATGGAATCACAAAGTGCCTGAGGATTCATAATGAGCTTTCCACGTCCATCTTACCAGATTTATCCTGCAACTCATCCAGACGTTCCCCACGTTCTATCACTTTGGAGATGTTCTCCTGCATGACGTCAATGACCTCATCAACTTGAGACTGCACACTGAAGGCCACCAAGACAGAGAAGACAACATGAGAGAACAATCTGGTACTTTCATTTAACTCAACAGAACATTAACAGCTCAGGTGCACATGTCCGTGTCTGTGTTTCTAATATTTTGAAGAGAACCCTCTCTTCTTCTGTAAACCGCTCGAGATTAAACAAGATATCATTATGACTACGATCTGTTGACCCTGCAGTGTTGAGAGGAGGTGAGAACGTTTTGCTAGACGTGGTCTAGACACATCCAAATAGCTTGAACTATTTGAACTCGTAGACGTGACACGCAAATACGCACTAAATAGCTTGTGAGGTATTTAGCTCCTCTCATACACCTGGCACGAGGGACTGGCATGGCTTTTGGAGACGCAGCCTGCGAATGAACTGAGAACAGGATGTTTTCATGAGGCTTCTATGCCTATCTAATACACACCATGATCTGCACCAAATGGCCAATCGCACAGGAACTCGCTCATCTCTTGCACCTGGGAGTAACCTCTAGCACAGATGCAAATGAAGCAACAGAGTCCAAGACGTTCACGGAAAAGTTCAGAAAAAAACATTAGGGAAATTTCACCTTCCAAGTTTTCCCTATTAAATTTCATTGTTTTATGTGTTACTCCACAGTGGTTATGTAAACCTGTGGCTGCTCACATGGGGCGAAGCTCTGCAGGGTTTCCTTTGGGAGAATTACTGCAGCATATTAGTATGTACCAAACTTCATAACAAACAACAAAGAAAGGCCCACAGTCCGGCTACTACAGCTACGTCAGGAACCGAGGGTTTTAGAATAATGGGAGTAGCCGTTTACTTTTCCCAGCAAATATTATGTTGTGTCATAGAAACCCAGATGGTTACAGTGCTTCCCTTCTTCTCGTACGGGAGGTGTGTTTGTGGGTGGGTGTTTTCACAGATGCCATTATAAGGAGTTATATAAATTCTGCAAAACACAACGACATGGGCAGTGCTTGAGCAGTCAATAACTGTGATTTCTACAACACCCTGCCAGTGGAAGTTATTAGATATCCATCCACATTCCTAAACTGAACCATTTCTACTATTTGGAAATTTCGGAATTCCTAATTGTTCAATTCTGAAAGTGCCCCTTCTTATGGCGCTTTTCCACTGCATAGTACGGTACGGTTCGGTTCGGTACGGCACGCTTTGGCGCTTTTCCACTGCATAGTACGGTACGGCTCGGTTCGGTACGGCTCACTCGTGGTGCTTTTCCACTGCATGGTACGGTACAGTACGGCTCGCTTCGGCTCGCTTTAAATGGTACCTGGTCTGTTGAGGTTCCAAGCGTTCCGTACCGGTACTAAAATGTGATGTAAAAACACTGCAGATCACTGATTGGTCAGACAGAATCGTCACTACCAGCGTCATTGGATTTGCAACACGAGACACTAAACCCGCTAGATTTAAATAACCAGTAGACAACAGCCAACGCGGTAGCATCTGTTTTTTACTTTCTTGGAAAAAAAAGAGATCAAAACTTTTAAAAAGAAATGGCTGAATCGTGGTCAGTGGACGAGGTGCAGACGTTCCTCTCGTTGGTTGCCGAGGAGCGGATCCAGCGAGAGCTGGATGGGGCAAAACGGAATGAAAAAGTGTTCCAAGAAGTAGCTCAGCTCTTAGCCGCACACGGCTATCACCGGACCTACAAACAGTGTAGGGACAAAATAACGATCAGTCCCACCCACTTTGAAGGGGTACTAACTGCGGTGGAAAAGCAACCGAGCTAAAGCGAACCGAACCGTGCCGTACCGAGTCGAGTCGTACCACCAGTGGAAAAGCGATGCGAGCCGAACCGTTCCGCGCCGAACCGTACCATGCAGTGGAAAACTGCCATTAGTGTCTCACACAGGTTATGCTAGACATCAATGTTGCCTCAATTTGTGCGGCTTGTTGAAAGCTATATTCCCTTGCCAGATGATAAAACAGTAAAAAAAATCCCACAGATCCACATTGAAGGAAGGACCTGAGCTATATCTAGACAGCAGAACATCATAAACACTTGGCGGTGGGCTCTTTTGGACCTCAGCCAGTAAGCAACACCCTAGCAGCACACCGGTAACCATCCCCGGCACTCATTTTACTTACAGCTGCAAGTGTTGTAGTCAAGACCGACTTGTTCGAATTCAAGAGCACATTTTCTGGGTCTTGGTCCTCAAGTCCTTGTTAAAGACCATGTTTTCATAGTCTTGGTCTAAACTCGGATTAGACCCTCTTTTGGTCTTGCCCTTGACTCAGACTCGAATGAGCCTATCTCGACTACAAAACTGACAACTGCTCTACGGATATATGTAGGATGCATGGCAGTCTTGGAAGCATCTGTAAGAATGTGTTTGTAGTAAAGCCTATCATATGAAACATGTAAGTAGTAGCAACTTTACTTGGCTGCTCGCTCTAATGTTAGCCTAGCTTATTGTGCGCTATCATTAGCAGCATATCCAAGTGTTTGTTCGGAGTGTGGAAGCTAAAGTATTATACATTACCATTTACTACTGCATAAAACAACTTAATATACTCCGTCATTTTTGGTTATACAAATATGGTATTTGGCACTTTTATTTGTGTAAACTTACAATAACAACAAAATAAAAAAAACAAACAGGATGCGCTTTCTGCTGTCTTGGTCTCCGTGAACTGGAGCACGTCACAAAAATGAACCGAAACTCAGCATATAGGCTACTTGCCTCACAGACATGAGAAATATATCTATAGCAAGCTTGAAATGTGTACTTTTAAACGAACCAATTCAAAAAGCCTCATTATGGTTTAGTATTCCCCCAGTATATATTTAAGTAATTAAATTAATATGAACGTGCAATTAGTCGACTAATGGCTTAAATGAACGACTACTAGTCGACCAGAGAAATCTTTGTTCGGGGGCAGCCCTAGTTTGTAGTTTTATACCAATCCGTATTGTTTTGTACCGCATGTTCATCTTTTTCCATTACAATTGTGTTTATGAATGTATGGAGTTCACACATGGAGTTGGGAGAAAAAAAATTCAAATTCCTTGGCAAGGAAAGTAAAAAGCAGGCCAGCAAAGAAAAATGAGTCCTAAAAAGTCATACGTACTGTCTAATTTTGTCATTTTGGCCTCCAAATCTTGGTCCTGTAGGTCCTCTCCTGCAAAAAAAAAAAAAATCCATTAACCAATCACACTGTCATAAAGAGCTTTCCTGTTAAAGCTGTGTGCAAACAGTAATAAATGCTCAAAGATCGCTTTATTTGTCAATGCTGATTATGCAAAACTACAGACTTACAGGAAAAAGTCCTCCTCTTCATCTGAGTCTTCCTCCAGTAGGTTCCTCTGCAAGTTAAGAAGATCAGGGTGTCAGGCTAGTTAGAACTGGTGCAAGGAGACAAGAGATATGTAGTCCATGTGGTCTGCATTTGTGCCATCTGATCTCTGGTGCAATGAATCACAGATCAGGAGGCATCCAGTTGACCTTCCATTAGTTTTGTTGTAAAGTCCATGACTGCACAAATTTGAACAAATACCTCACCAGATCATTTCAACATCCCGATGACTAATATTATATAACTTTCCATAACTGCATCCAAGACCTGTGACACTCCTCTAAAATTCCATCTGGACAATTCCATGCTAATGTCAACCGTACCAAGGAAAAATGAAACGTTTTCCACAAAGAAATAGAATAATCTTTTTTAAAACAACTCAAATAATCAATTACCCTTGTGATGTTTGTGTATGAATGAGTGGTGAAGAGACACGAATCACTATCGTCACAACTGATGTCATCTGTGACCTGCTACAAGCTCAAATTAAATTATAGCCAATGTTTTTGAAAGGAATGCCTTCTAAAACCAATAAGGTTTGATTTCTATGTCTAAAATATATTGTCCTACAGATTCATTTCATGTAGGCATACATCACTCTTTTGAATATTCATTGCAAAATGAATCATGATTCAGTGCAATATTATGACTGAAATCTATTTTGCTAGCCATAAAATTTGGTAGAAAATAATAGTTTGGAACTAAAATATGACAACATTCAACATTTCATTTTGCTGCCCAACATCTAGGGTAGTTCATGAGACATACCAGTATCTCAAAGTCTGGCAGTTTCTAAGCATTTTTAGAAATTTTTCACATTCTCAAATAAATTTTGCTGTTTTTGGAACTATGATTTTTCGGCAGGGTTTTAGGAAAATTCATACAAATGATTCAGTATACAGGAAATGAGTAACTGAGCTTACATGTCATGTTATGACTGCAAATAACACTACACTTGCTCATATCCAAATGGCCCTTTACTAGGGAATATTTAAAAACAAGAACTGGGTCTTTTCACGGGTCACGGTCAGCGGTGTTACATAACGGGCACGTGGAAAGCCACACTCATCTTAGCTCTTTTACACATTCTTGCTCTCTCACTGCTGCAGTTCGAGCTACTATGCGAGGCCAATTAGAGGAGGCTTTTCTTTGGATGTGCTAATGTCTCAGCCATCCAACAGTTTCTCCCAATCATACATCAGTCGGGAGTTGTGCCCAAGCAAAATACACAAGGTTATCAAATCCTGACACTGATTTACAGGCTTTTGACTGTAAGGCCTGGCAGGGTTTTTAGTGACTCTCTAGGACTGGCAGAAGATGGAGACACTGAATGTCAATAATGAGATTGGTACTGACAGATTCTGGGAAGGGCTCCGCTAGTTTATAACCCCCTGCGTGAGCTAATGCCGGTTACATCATGGCATTAGTCTTCACTTTATGTCGACTTTTCCGTTCACTGCTTGGTTTTGTTATTTAAATAGAGATGTATTATTACTGGTTTTTGGTCTGTCCATGTGACTTACACTACCATTCAAAAGTTTTTGAAAGAAGTCTCTTACGCTCACAGTAACATTGTTAAATATTATTACAATTTAATAACTGTTTTCTATTGTAATATATTTAAAAAAAATATTTATTCCTGTGATGCAAATCTGAAATTTCAGCGTTGTTACTCCAGTCTTCAGTGTCACATGATCCCATTCTAACATGCTGATTTGCTGCTCAATAATTATTTCTAATTATTATCATCAATGTTTAACACTTGTGCTGATTAATATTTTGTGTAAACTGTAATAGGCCTACTTATTTTCAGAATTCTTTGATGAATAGAAAATTCAAAAGAACAGTGTTTATTTGAAATTTAAAAAGAAATTACCATTATAAATGTCTTTACCGTCATTTTTGCTCAATTTACTGCATCCTTGCTATATAAAAATATGAATTTCTTTCAAAATAATATGAACAATCTTAATTATTTTGACTGCTGGAAAGTAAAACAGAATTGCAGCATTGATTTGCATAGGCCAAAAAAAACGAATTTGTTCATTTAAATAATCTAGTTTAGTAAGTTTACATATGACGTCTGTTTATTTCTGCAAAATCTTGTTCCATTTTATTTGAGTTTTTCTGTTTATTTTTCTCCCCATCTGTTTAATTTTTCATCCACCTCAGTTTATCCACTGCTATTATGACACGTGGTAACTGCGTGACATTTGATAAGAACAAATTGCTCTCTGAAGGGTTTTACAACACAGGAGTTGAAATGTAGTGTGTGTGTGTGTAATAGCATAAAAGCTGTAGTTGTAGATGGATTATGTAAGTTCTGAGACACTGAGGGGAGAGCTGTTTACTCCTGTAAACACTAACAGCACAAACAGATCATAGGGCACAATGGGGTTGTAGAAGTGCAGAGCTGTGCAGGTCTGGCTCTGGTCAGTTTCAATCAGCTCTAGTTAATCTATATGGTAAAAAACTGACTTACCCGCTCACTGCGAATAGAGCCGGTAACCTCTTCATCGTTCAGATGCCGTTTGAATTTGGGGGGCATGCTGGGGTCGAGCTGCTCCTCCCTCTCTGGCTCCCTCTGCAGGCAAAAACAGGAAGCACAGAAGTGATTGACTAGATTTATGTCATCTTGTGTCACTCACTGTCTCATTTTTCTCATATAATAAAATAATTTCAGCTCAAATAATATTTCGTCTCCATTTGATGTCCAGTCAGCCAGGAATTATAGCAAAATTATTCTATTTTGGGCTTATTTTGAAATTATGACTACAGGACTGTACATTATCACTTATAAATTGATACATAATTTAATGCAATACAGTTCATTAGCTTCTAATTTGGCTAAGTTTGTTTGAATTTTGCTCTGCACCAATCTGTGCATTAACAAGCGTGCATTTATCAGCTGTTTTACAATGCCTTTGAATGTGACTCATCTAATCGGATTTTTGAGCTGGAACTCTTTGTTCTTTAAGTCTTAATTCAGACCAGACTGTGACCAAAAGTGAAAGCTCAACTATACTGACCATATATCTGGGCAGTGGTCTGTTAGTTAGTTCATTTGACTGAACTTTAAACCATAAAAGCTGAACTACTTTTAAGTAAATCCATCGTAATTCAGACTTGGGATAGACCACCCTGTTATATTTAACTAGTTTAGTGAAGGGGATCAATCTAGCCACGCCGACTGTAACGTGATGCTTGCAAACATCAAACAGAGCAGTTAAAGACAAGCTCCTGCAGTTGATGTCCAAGTCATAACGTTCCTCAATGTGTATTATATTCACCCAGCAGTTCATTTATGGTTAAACCATTTGGTCATTATTTTACAAACATGTAGCCTATAGCTTAGAAGTCCACAGCAGGTTTTCATCTAGAAACTACCAGACATCTAAACTTTACCTATGGAATAACAATGACTGGTTCTCAAACAGTCCCTCTGATTGACAGTTTCTCACCACTGAACATCAGAGTGCAGATCTAGAGTCAGTACAACTAATAGGAAACTCATTTTGAAATTGTAGCTAGCCAGATTCTACACTTATGTACCCTTGATAAATTGTGATAATGCAGCAAACTGTACGATGAAGAATGTATCTGGTCTATTTCATATCTGTCTTTTTACTATTGCATTTTATTTGTGCAGTTGTTTGCAATTTATTTATTTGTTCTTATTTTATTACTGACTTTTTAAACTTTTATAAAATTTTCATTAAAGATAAGTAGATTTTTGTTTGTATATGCTCATGCTGTCAATTTGAGTTCTTAAGGCCTGTTCACACCGGGACGAATTTCGCGCGCTATATTCGCCGACGTTTAACGCCTCGTGACTAAACAAAGGGCGCCAATGTGAGTGTGCACACCGACACGAAAAACGCCACGCGTAAAAGCGTCATTTTTTAAAAAACGCCTCGGGTTCGTTTTTTTAGTTTGACGCACCGCGTCAAAAACTATCCGACCAATGAGATTGGCGTTTTTGCTCACGTGTCTGGAGCTTCTGAAGTTACAGTAAAACACAACTTGGGGGCGCCAGAGAATCTCGGGCTTTGGGGGCGCTCAAACACAAAACGGTCTTGCCGAGCACACATCGAAAGCGAAAATCGCTTGGGTGTGAACACAAAAAACGCGTTGAAAAACGCTGGCGAATAACGCGCGCCGATATTCGTCCCGGTGTGTACGAGCCTTTAGAAAGAAAATCGGAATCTGCAAAAATCGCTTTCGGTAGGTCGCACAAATAGCAGAAATCAGAATCAGCAAAGAAAATTGCAATCGGTGCACATCTCGAATCGTGGTATTGCGATTAGGCTACAGCTCTAAATGTGTTCTTTTTAAATGTCTGGTAAAAAAAATTATCTTTTTTTCATTGGATCACAATACATTTTATTTTTAAGCAAAGTATAGAATATTTGGAAGAGTAGTAAACATGAATGTCAGGTGAAATAATTAAATAAATAAATAAATAATTGAATTCTTCTTAAATTAGAATAAATGCAGTCACTTAAGGGAGCCTAAACATGCAGCTCAACAATAACTAGAACATAAATAAATAAACTATTCTCTGTAAAAAAAAAATATATTTTTAAATCCAGTCACTTAAGTGAGTAATCAGCTAAAGAAAAAAAAAGGAAACCTGGATTCCTGCACTTTCTTTCTTTGAAGGTCATACCGCAGGAACGGTATAAAGAAAAAAATTTGAGGTTTTAAAACCGTGACTTTTTCAAACCGGTATCTGGCCCATTCCTACAAGGATCTCTATGCAACTATGTCTTTTATTTTAAATAAACAAAACAAGAAGGATGATATGATGACAAAATAAATAATCCAATGGGGAAACCACAAACATGACAGCTTTGCAAACAAAACAAAGACAACAACCGACGACAAAGAACTAAATAAACTAAGGAGTAGATATACAAAGGATAATGATTAACTAAACTAGACACAGGTGAGCAACATAATCAGTAACCATAGAAACAAATGAGAAGAACATAAGTATAAACCAAGGAAACGGGAAATAAACACAGGAAAAGATAAACTAGGAACAAACTAAACAAAATGATAATCAAAAAAGAGTCCTTGTAACCAGAGACATGACAGATGGAAGTGCAAAAATGCTAACTCATTTCCTGGTATTAGGACTCATTCCTGCAGCGCTCTATTGATTGATGACTCAAATGAATCAGTGAAGCATTGAACTTGCTAAAATGAATCAGATTTCCTGGCAAAGCTAAGAGAGTATGTTTGTCTAATGTAAAACACAATGTGACATAATAGACTAACGTAATAGTGTCATGCTACACTGATAGATTCTTAGTGGAGAAGCAAATTATCTTAACAGCCAATCTACTGTCATGCTAGTCATAAATGTAGTTAGGTTGTTGCTAAATGTGACAGCTTCACTAGTTTTAGTTAGTTACTCCATAACACACAGTACTTGAATGAAGAACATGTGGTAAACGTGTCCCTGTAAATAATAAATGACATAGATGTGTCTCAATTGTACTTAAAAAAAAAACATGAAACACATTTATGAACTCTTGCTGTTCTTGAGAAGTTTAATTTTTTTCATTAACAGGCAAACTAAAGCTGCTTCCTTCCTCCACCCACTGGACAACTCTCAACCCAAACTCCAAGTCTAGTACCATTGAGTCCACTGTCCTCTGCTCTCTGACTGCTCTCTGCTTCTCTTGCTGGAAGAGCTGTAGGAAAACGGCTTCTCCTTTATCCAGGAGTACAGAAGAGCGTTCCAGAAAGCAGGATAAGGGAAAAGAGAGGCTGGGGACAGGGAACGAGAGGAAGGGAAGAGGAAAAAGACATGGGGTTTGAGAGAAAGAGCATGAAAAGGTAAATAAAAGATGCCAAGACAGAGAAATAAGGACATAGAATCCAACCACCATCCACTGAGACCATGTAGATATATTTACTTGTCTTTAACTTCAGTGCAAAAATATTTAAATGTGCAGATAAGCCAAAACTTAACCTTACCATGGTGTCATCATTTACTCAACCTCCCTTTTGGGTGAGGAACAGACTGAAATATGAGTTACTCATTCTTGACTATATTGTCTTAGCTCTTAAACTCCATTTGCGCTTCTAATTCAAACTTGGTGCTTCCCAATCAATTATATGAGACACCAGAGAATCAATGATGTTGTGCAAATGTGTGGTCAATTTCAATAAGGAATCCATGCAATCAGGAATTTCACGTGATTGCAAAAATTGACTCCCCCAAGCGGATTTTGCAACGGGTTCAAACTGGTCACGCTGATTTGCTGCATTGACCAACAGAAAGTTGCTTGGTTTGAAAGTGACTTCTGTGTCCACTGTGCTTCACAAATCATGGATAGACGGACGGACAGAAATAGTGATATGATTGATGGATGGATTGGAGATTTTTTAAATTTTATTTTTGTTTTAAAGCTAAAAAAAATAACAGTATGCATATTTGGAACAACAAATTGGACTGGAATATTAATATGATGGATGGATGGATGGATGGATGGATGGAAGGAAATAGTGATATGCAATCTGGATGGATGGATGGATGGATGGAAATAGTGATATGAAATCTGGATGGATGGGTTGTAAGCAGAAATCTGGCCATGATAACAAATACAAACAATACAAGCCACCAAACCCACAATGGACATTCTGATAGCAAAATGTTTGCAGACTTCAAAGTGATTACACTGATTAAACCTTCACATGCGTCACATTGTTACGGAACAGCTTCATGATGACAGACAGCTCACAAACAAAACTAACAGGTTAGGCATTATTCAGTGTTCTCTCATCACTGAATCTAAACGCTTCAGAAACACACAGGTCAGCGAACGGGTAAAAGAAACACTGAGATCACTAACAGATGATGGGACTTACATAATTCAGGGAACAGGATAGCCTTGACTTTCCATCAACAACTGTGGATTAATCAGAGACTGTTTGAATAACTGAGACTAAATCAATGGCACTCGCACAATCACTGAGCAGAAAAGACTGGCAGACTCAACATTCACTCATTCATGAACAATACGAGACTGGAAAACAACGAGTCCTTCGCTTATCATTTGTCAAATACACTAATTTTACAGGACTTTTACATTATTCAACTTAGTGAGATCAGGATGTTATGTGCATATGAGATTAAGAATACGCAAAATGTTAAGATTAGACTCCAAACAACTCCTAAATGTACTAGTTTTCAAGCAAACGTTCAACTGACCAGACGTTGCCGATCATGTCAAAAACAGCTGATGTTCCTGTCCAGCACCTGCTAAACAGAGGAGCTGTGTGCTAGTCATCACAACCATGTAAACATACCCTACAGGACGCTAAAATATCGACACGAATTAGAAGACATGCTTTGGAGAAAATAACAAGCATGAAATCAAATGATCGTGTTGACATGAAGATTTGTGGAAGAATGGAAAGATTGAAGTGAAAGCAGTGGGAATGACAGTTAGCATAACAGCTAACACCTCTGAATAAATCACTGACCGCTTGACAGACACACAAACACACGTACAAAGGCCTCAAGAGTCACATCCCCGGCCAGTCTACCTCAGAGATCTCTCTTTTGTCGATTCCTGTTTGGAAGAACCGCGTCTGTGTGTTATTAATCCCGGTGACAGTGTCTGATCTGAACCTGAACGAAGTGACGGGTCCTGAATGATGGCGATGACGCCTCTTGCTCGGCTCTGAAGCGGAAGTCAACACAACTGGACGGATCCTGTTTCCTGCGCGTGATTTCTTCATCTATTAATAAAATATTATAAATATATGTTATAAATAATACATACATATATATTAAAAGGATGAAAAAATCTCATCAACATCTAATTCAACAAAAATAATAAAAATCATCGCCATTTAAATCATCATCTAATGTATGAAACAAGAATAAAACATAATAAATGTATCTCCAATCAAATAAATGCAGCCTTGGTGAGCATAAGAGATTGTTTATCACACAAAATAAGTTTTTATACATGTACGCCTGCATAAAATATGAAATATTGTGTAAGGTTTGGCTTAACATCACAAAGTTATTTTCTGATGGTTAACTGTAGACTTATGAGTCAAGTTTAGGTTGAATTTTTTTATTTAGGCCTATCAGATTTCCCGAAATTGATCAAACAAACACTGAAAATAAATAAAAACCAAGGACTGGATAAGATTCATGGAACATTTGGAGCAATAAATTCAGATCATCTTGTCACATGAATACAAAAAAAATGCTGAGTGATGCAGCTCTTCAGAGGAGAAATGGTTTTGTGAGCAGACAGGAATGTGTCCCGCGAGCTACAGGAGGCATGATCTGTAAAACAGGCAACCTTGAGAAATGTTTCACATGGGGATAGAAGGTGCTTCGCAAAGTGAAAAGATTAGGTGGACTGTCCAGTGTCCCCCAAAAAGGCCCTTGCCAAAGGTCACACTTTTAATACTTAATTCCCTTATAAGGATGCACTTATAGACATAAAAGTGAAGTTCTTCTGCATGTGTCTTTTGAGCAAAAACCTGGCGTACCTTCCTAGCTCCCTATGTTGCGAATAAGTATATCATACATGAATTCGGGCACTGGAAAGGACAGTAAGCAAGGACCCTGGCTCACTACACTTTGGCTGCATTCGAAATCGCATACATCCCTACTATATAACAGTATGTGACAAAAGAATGTCCGAATTCACAGCACTCATAGCAGGCAAAAAGTTCCCGGATGATCTACTTCTTCCAGCGAGATTCTGAAGTGTGCATATGATGGACGATTTACTATCCCACGAGGCCACGGGAGAGTATTTATGAATGGCAGTGAAGCAACCCAACTGATGCTGGTAGGTCACATGATAATGACAACATGGCGAGTGTAGTATGCCAGATTATATTAATACTAAACACATTCATACTATACAGAACATACATTTTTAGCGGTTGTGAATTATTTAAAATAAGTACCTACTCAAGAGAGTCTGCATTTTGGACGCAGTTAACGTTATGTTTCATTCTTCAGAACCTCTGTGGTTTTCACGGTGCATTGTGGGACTTTTTAGCGAGCGAACGTTTCAGTGCACTGGAAGGATTTTACAATTGAGACAGCCCTTAAAATTGCCGACACCCTGAACCATGCCTGACTAGTGAACTTGGGAGCTGATTGAGACGCACACCTGGTAGCTGGAGTGTGTAACGCTCTGTATATACTGACTCCCTAAAACTCTCGTCAATTGTTTCATTTTCAGAATCCTGTGAGACATTGAAGGAAATGGAAAACTGATGAGAAATATCATTATATAAACAGTGAGAAAGCCAAGTCTGACTTTGAATATTCCACTAAGTCACTTGGCTCAAGTTTTGCTATTTGAATTGAAAAAGCAATATATTTGACAAAAGAAAGAGCATTTGGAACTGTACCGTAGTCAGCTATTTCTTAACCCTCCACGTTTAAAAAGACTCCACTGACTCCCATTTCTATGACTTATGAACTTCAGGTTAATTTAAGGTACCCGTGGGACACTTTAGGTTGTTTTTCAGGTGGGTTATAAAGCTGTACTCCTCATACTTTTTTGTTTGTCCAGTTTAACCTTCAACATCTCTTCATACAATGGAGGGAACATGCTTGCAACCATATCAGCAATTCACAGAACATTAGACCAAGGAAATATATTCCGAAATTTATGAGGGAACAAATTTATGACCTATGTCACTAAAAGGAAATATTTATCTGCCTGTTGATCCTAATGTTTATACACGCAGTCAGAGTCCTGGGTTTGGTGCATGTTGAAAATGGCTAAAATAAACGTTCCCGTCGTTCTGATGAGGCAAGCAGACGTCCTGAAAACTAGGAGAGAAAGAGCAGGAGCGATTTAGTCACAGAGGATTCTGCTGAGGCCTCTAGATGGACAATTGAACATTTCATAAGACCAGTATATGGAAAGGTGGCAGGCCGGCTGATGGGATGGTGATCAGCGGGAATCCTGACTTTATAGTTACAGGATTATAAACGACAGGGGCGAGGTGTGTAAGGCTGAAGGATGAGAGAGATGAGTCCCACATGCACTTGAGCACTTCTTTCTGTCCATAAATAAACATTTCATTACTTGAAATAAACATTAACTGAAAGAAAATAAAATATAATTTTTTAGCTATAGTTGCCAAGGCAAAATGTCTAGTTTTTGTTTGGTTTAGAATTACTAAAATAGCTAAAACTTAAAACTATATAGACAAATTTAAAGGGAACCTATTATGCTAAATTTACTTTTACATGGTTTTTGGACATATGTATGTGTGTGGGAAGTGTGAGTACACAACCATCCTATAATGGTGACAATCCACCCACTCCTTTTTTAATATTCCCTTAAATCATAAACAGTGTCTCAAAAAGAGTCCTTCGCATTTTCTATATATTGTGACGTCACAGTGTGACAAGCCCCACCCACGACTGGTGGCTGGTTGAATCTACCCTTTGAGCTTAGAACCTTAGATCATTAAAGGTGCCATATGTAAAAATTGAGGTAAAAATATCCAACAAATGAGCTACACGTATCAAAAGAATGAGAAGAAATAAATGCAATGATGTCATTAAAAAAATGACAAGTTATAGTGCTGTCGAGATATAAACCTGAATTAGCATGCTAAATTACTAGCCCCGGCCCGGCCGGTGTCATAATACCAGTTTCGGCCATGGGAGGCAGTATGCGGGCAACATACATAACCACCAGCCAAACTCCAATACACGAATAACTCGCACGGCTTGTGGGCGTACTTGAACCTGTCAATAGCGTCTATATGAGACCGGCCTTTATAATTTAGTGTTGAGATGTTTTCATTGAGTCTCTAATCTCTAAAAATCTCCAAATGAACTGCGGTCTTACGATCGTGTCAATTGATTTGATTAATATGCGCGAGGGAGAGCAGGAGGACAGCGCTCGTGTTGTTTGAAGACGTGAGAGTGCGCGCGCGCGGCCGGGGCGCTCTCTCTCTCTCTGCCCGTTATGCGCCCTGTCAAGCGCAGCAGTCATTCTATTCTACATCACTCACCGATCAAAATAGGCTTTGGTGGGACAAAGCGGACGATTTGACGGTTTTTAGAAGATTAACAAACCGAAACTAAAAAACAGACTAGAGTAGGCCAACTTTCTGGAGGTATACTGCCCCCATCTGGTATGGAATATGTGGATTTTGAATTGATTTTTTTACACAAGGCACCTTTAAGGTGATGATACACAGGGCAACTTTTTGAGCAAAGTTGCCGTCAAAGGGTAACCAGGTGAGACACAGGACCCACGACCGATCTAAATTATCCAGATAGAAATTTGCTGCCCATTCTCAACAGGAAAGTGCCCAAGCAACATCACTCGGCAACATTGCCCGCAGCAACGTTGCTCAAAAAGTTGCCCCGTGTATCATCACCTTAAGATCCTCCTTTAGCTGTGCACAATCCGCCATGTTAATTTCCTTGCTATAGCAGCTAGTATAGCTTGAAAATAGTGGAAAATAAATTTTGCTGGCTGTTTCAATGAACACAGAACGCGTTTTTTCTATCCACTGCCCTACTTTCCTTTGCTTTTCTTTGTTAACGCGCTAGACGGACGCAATGCGCTCGCGTCCCACAATTGGTCAATGGCCTCGAATCTGTCTAGCGTGTGTTTAGATAGTAAATAATATAAAAGCAGCACAGTGAAATGCAAAAACGCATTCTTTGTAAACGACCCCATACTTTTTCCTCTGTTTTGTCGTTGTCGGAGTATCTAAGACAGGGTTTCCAGGTTTGTGTAACAAAAACAGCACAATTGCTATTCAAAACCTGCCCAATCACTGTTAAAACTAGCTACTAGCTATAGCCCAGTAAAAACTGTGTTCCAGGGGGGTAAAATACGCTTTAACCTGCACGGACTAAAAAAACAACCCACGGCAACAGTGTAAAGTAGCCCACAGCCCTCTTCTGGAAAGGGGGGTGGGGAGCAGCAGCTCATTTTGCATTTAAAGCTACACACACGAAAAACTGCCTGTATTTGCTTCCACACAGACCCTAAAATCTTTGTCCAAGATGGCAATTTTCATGACATGAAGCCCTGAGGGTGAGAAGATCAAAATGTGCCCTGCTTTCTTTCTCTCCCTTTGCAGTTTCTTCTGCTACCGGTGCAGTTGATAAATCTTAAACTGACCTTGACTGCAGAACAGACCTCAATCAAACATGAAACATCCATGTCTCCGGAAACCTTATTCATTGCGGTGTTTCTGCATGTGATGGAGTAGGAAGCATTCATCTTTACCGGTAATGTGTTTACCTACTGTCATGAAGACTTCAAACACCATGACACAGGTCACACCTGCCATGTGTCCTGAAGTTTAAAAGTTCACCAGAGGTCAGATTTACTTCCGAATGCATGGTGTCCACACAGGATGCTGCCGTTTTACTCAGTATTATATGTGTTCAAGACCATAAGTGCACCTGGATGCGTTTATAATAGTATTTAAAATATATTCATACTTTAGTGCTCTTTACACTTATTCATCATGACACATCTTATTTAGGTTGAAAACAACATACTTTGGTGATTAAACTTAAAATGCTTCTACTTTGCTTTTTAATTTATTATAAAACTTTTGATTACACATTTTGTTTTCAAATTACAAATTTGTATTAATTTA